TTGTAGCATGTGACTTCCCAGATGAAACATTCAGCCTGAACTGCATGTGTTAGAGCAAGGTACCCCGGCATCTTCTGATGGCAAAGGTCAGATATACCACCAGGACCTCATAAATACATAGTACAGGGGGTTTTATCAGTGTTAAGAGATCTTCCAGTCTTTAGGGTATTTGATGTAAATTCCTTCAATGTGAATAAATTTTCTTAGTCTTTTAAATCAGTTGACTCAAAACACATGTGTGCATTGGTCTTTTGTCAGCATTAGAAGCAGTGAAGCAGCCCGTTTCTGTCTGTGTATAAACAAAAGTGTGGAGACCCCTTCTGAGTGAAGTACAACTGAAGCTTGAAAAGCCATCTTAAAATGGAGAGGTGAAACATGGCTCCATAAAGGAAAGAACATGTGAGCCAGGAACTATATTAGGAACATTGTATCGTAAAAATAGAAATACCTGTGGCAACCTAAAAAAACCTCTAAAATTGACCCTTTCTCTGTAAAAAGATCTAAATGGCCCTACTATTGATCACATCAGTGATGACAATTTTATTTCTGTTCTTGGCTCTTGCTTCCCCTTTTCTCCATCTTGACAGCAGTAGTGTATACCACAGGTCAGATACTGAACATGGGTACTGTTCAGCTGCCTTTAGAGGCAGCCCCTCAAGTGAACATATTTGGAGAAGCATCATCTGGAGTGCTGTTGCAGGATATAAATGGAATTGAAGCACCTGGTCCCATTTCTATGATATACTGTGTTTATCACTTTGTCTGTTGGGGGGACAATTTTGGGATGCATTGAAGAGGAATTCTTCCTCTGCATATGCCTTCTGCCCCTTCAGGCCTTTTTCATACAGGTAGGTATTTTAAGCTTATTGCACTTACCAGATATGAAAATAGACCCATTGGAGCAGTCTGACAAAATCATGACCACTGCTTGCTTCCATCAGTTTGTCATTATGACACTGGCTCTTAAATTTTTATGCCCGTTGAAGACTTAACAAGAAACCATGGGCATGGAGTCTAGGCTAATAGAAGAATTAAACTTCTCAGCTTCTGAATTTAACATGGTGGCTATCTCATGTATGAAAGGTTGAAGATAGAGATTTGCAGAATACAACTTTGGTAGCTTAACACTTTTCTTAGAAAATTTTTATTTTGCATATACGTTAATGATCTGAGTGGCTAGTGAAGTTACAGTGACTGCAGATGTATAATGATAGCTTGAGGTTCTAGAAACATTTTTAGTGACTTAAAAATAAAACCTGTTATCAGTGTTTGTCATTCATCAAAGCATTGGTCACTGTGCTTTGTTAAAGCAGTGGAAAATTCTGAAGAACGTATAATACTTCATAATGCGGGAGACTAAGAAAAGGTAAAGATTAACCTAGAAGGATTTCTGTTGTCATAATAATACACTCAAGATAACAGCCTGTCATTTTTCCTTAATATTGTCCTTAAAAGTGTAATTATTTGACTTACATATTAGTTTAATAAATTGTATTCTTTGATATTTCTGTAATTACATTTCTCTAGGGAATACTATCACTTGCAATAATAACCATTCTGATATATCTTATGAAAAAAGCACAATTAAGATTTTTCTTAACTAATTTTGACAGATATCACAAAAGGCACATGGCCTTCAGTTAAGAAAGGAAATCTTTAAGCAGCTGTTTGTAAAACTACTGAAAAGACTCTCCTGTCACTGCTAATACTCTCCCATAAGCAATAGCACAAACTATATTTTAAGTACAGTAAGAACAAGAAATATTTTGTGAAGGTTCTTCTTTTATCAATGTTTTCCAATGCTGGTGTACCTCTGATTTTTCTGTATATAACTTTTTCTTCGTTTTCTTGAACTACTGGATCAACTTACAATTGCATTTCACAGGACAGTGAAATTTCTTGTGTTTTTATTTGGAAGGGGAGGGACAGGGGAAGGAGTTCCTTTGCAAATGTGTGGAGTGAGGAAGAAGATTTGGTGCTTAGGGAAAAGTACAGCTACAGTAGAGTTTAGAACTACCCTGACTGTTTTTGGGGTTGCATAACAGTACCTCATTTTAGTAGCAATGTTAGCATATATTAAAATCATGCTGTAGATTTCAGATTAAAACAAAACCAACACTTTAAAGCATTGCTTTTTTCTATAGAGGGATTTTTCTTTGTACGGATATGGGGAAGTGAAATGAAGTGCTGTGCACAATACTTGTATTATGTTAAAAGTTCAATCCACTTTACAAAATGCGCTATACTTACTGGGGTAGCTGTTATTTCCTTGGAGATAATGAGGAATCTGGGCCGTGAAAGAGATGCATGCAAAAGCCTGCTTTCTGTGATCACTGGTTTAGACAGTCCTGGACTGTCTCTTTAGATGTACAAAACGGGTCTATTTTTTTTAATAGCTGCTTCTAGTATTTTTGGCCAGAATGGACTGATACAGGAGAGGAAGAGTGTGGTGCTCTGTTTTTGACTGATACATTGTTTTCAGGTAGTTGGGAGTTTGTGTGCAAGAGACTTGCAAAAACTTTTTACTTGGATGGAGTGTATCTGTAATCCTTTCGATCTATTCGCAACAACTGATTGCATTTTCCACACTTATGTATGTATCCTTTTGTGGGTAGGGAGAGGGGGGAAGAATGCTTGAGTTGTAGAAATGGTAGTATTATATAGTGACATCTACTTCTGTTGATCATAAAATATGTTACAGGTGGAGTATGTTATTCTAATGTTGTGGTGGCAGAAAGACAGGTTTTTGAAAGAAAAAAAATCTGCTCTTTTCAGAAAAAAAGTATATGTCGTTCTTGGCCAAGTGTTAAATAAGCAAGTATTGCTTCACCACCAAGAAGACCCTCACCATTTGTTTCCATTCTCCAAAGCAAGTTTGAATCTCTTTAATCCTCAGTCCAATTTTCAATGGAGCAAGCAAGGCCATGGAATGTAGCCTGTGTGTTGATGTGCATCACTGGTCCTTCAAATGGACATAGCTTCACTGAATTTTAGTTTGAGGGCTGTGACAGTTTCGATATTTAAAATCTACATAGTTTAAGGTGTGTAGTCTTAATTGCTGAAGAGAGAGAAGCTCATACATGAACTTCAGTGGTGGAAATGTTATTCTGTAAATTGCTAAAATAAATGCAGTTGTCGGAGATGAATCACTTCTAGAAATTCAATTATCTTGTCTGAAGTTGGAAGACAAACTTTTCTATTAAGAAAATAAAGAAATAGCAAGTAATTATGTTTGCAGATGGAGTAACTTTTACCACATTCAAGGTGAAATGGTGATTCTTTCGTTATAGTGGGATCGGTATGACGAATTCCTTTTGGATTTAACTAGTTATCAGTTGCTCTGTTAAACATAAAAGCTCTAAGAATATTTTCTAGTTATATAAAGATCATATAAAAATTTTTTCTGATTGTGGAAGACTAGGAAAAGCACACTTTGGAAGGACAAGGTTAAGAACCTGTTTATATGTGCCTACACGTAACAAATTTGAAGTCTCTTCAACCTCCTGTCTTGAAGAGTTTGTAAACATTTTGTGAAGCTACTTGTTCAACTCTTAATTTACTCTCAGTGTGGAATCATTTCATTGCTTGCTAACTCCTGACAAAATTAGTCTCACTTGCACACAGAGCAGACAATAAATTAGATATGGCTGTACATTCAAGAAGAGTATCAGGAGTCTTGAGGAGATGAACACTTTGTTACCCTTCTGCCGTAGCAATCAAAGTTGCAGCCCCAGCTTATGTTTTTGCTCACCTTTAAATGGCAAATAGATTGGTTTTTATAATGAAGCTGTTGGACAACTGTAATTGACAACATAAACTCACAGATCAAGATGGATAGTCCCATGACCCTGCTTCTGAATATATTGTTTCTGACTGCTGGGCCATGTTTTTAGATCCAATTGATCTGGCTGCTATCTGCTTCTGGCATGTGGAGTCCTGGCATGAAAAGAAGCTGTGATGTTGCAGAGTGCTGAGGGCTTGTGTTTTGATGCTGCATCTCTTTCCCCTTCCCCATGACCTGCTTGTAGTGGGGCAGCTTTTTCACTGAGCAGTGAGGCTTTGGGACCTGCCTAGGAAGTGAGTGAACAGACGTATGTGATTTAGCTTCCAATAAAATAATTTTTTCAAGGACCTTGGGAAAACTCAAGCCTTTAACCTGTGGTGTTTGCAGATTACTGTGCTTAGTAAAAACATTATAACCTCTATAATTTCAATGAGTTGGAAGAGTGTTTTAAATCTTGTATATAGTCCTGTTTCTGTGAAACTTCAATGTATAAAGTTAGTGCAGCCTTTTACCTTAAAAATTCAAGCACAAGAAATCAAGGAAGTTAGAAAATTAATAGATCAAAGATATTTGCTTGAGCAAATTGCATTCCCTAACTAGAAAGAAATTGATGATATAAAAATTGGTACACTTTTGATCCAGGTAGCATTACTACAGAAGCCTTAACTTGTGAAACCTATAATACAAATTAACATCTTTTCAGCCTTTAGCAATTTTTTTCATTGCTGCTGTTAGCCTTTGCTTTTGTGTTGAAGTTGTGTGTATACACAGCATCTAATGCAATGGATCTAAAGCTGTTCTTTGTGTAAATAATTAATAGCAGGCTTGTGAAGTGATGCATGGATTTGGCAAGGATGGAGTCCAGCTAGGAGAGAAGAACAAAAAGTCTTTAAAGCAAGATATTAGAATTGACAGAAGGGATTTCCATTGAATTGTACCTTATCACTGAAACATTTCTGAAAGCCCTAGTTTGGTAGTCCAAGTAGTTTGGCAATCTCTTTAAATATTGGACCCTGTCAGATTAAAATGGTTTAGAGTTTACAGTTTCCAGATAATTTCTAGACTCTAATTTCAACTTAGTATTTCTGCTGTATAGAAAAATCAGATACTTCAGAAGCTTGAGCCTTTCTTCTACCTTCTGGCAATGTAGACCTTGAAGTGCAGGATATCTAAAAGAGTTTTATTTAATTCCGTTTTTGGTGGCTTTCTCTTTCAGGATAACATTTTGTCATCTGCCTTTCCAAAGTAAATGGCTCTATGTGGGCACCGAAAGAGGAAACATTCACATTGTCAATGTGGAATCATTTACTCTCTCAGGCTATGTCATCATGTGGAATAAAGCCATCGAACTGTGAGTTTAATCAAGTATCGTCTGTTGAGGGGAGGGAACAGAAGTGTCCTAGGTGTTATTAACATCAGTTGCAGAACTGTCATTGCCTAGAGTGGCCTTTGTATTAGTTTCAAATACAGGATCAAAGTGCATAAATATTCACGTAAATACTCCTTATTAGTGCTAATGTTTTAGCGCTATAGTTTCTGCCTATAACACTATTTTATCATAGTGCCTGGAATAGACATAGAAATCATTATCTCTAGTGATAAAGAACTAGAAAAATGAAATATATTAAAATATGATGTGACTGGTACTTGGGCAGGCATGTCACTTCTATAGTTTTGAGGTTAAAGCCGAAAGTATAAAGTTATGCATTGTAAGAGGGCTAATGCATGCTGAGTATAAAATTACTACTGAAAATGTAAATTTAAATAAGCCTTTCCAATGGCAAAGTATATTTTTGACAGCTATTGTCATTGCTTCTCCTTTTTTAATAATAAATTTGTGTATGCAAATACAGTTTTTTGTGGGTGAAAACATGTACTTCTGTGCTGCTGTTCCTGTGCTGTTACTTTGTTCCTAGAATGTTATGTCTATCTACAAAACATACACAAAGCCCATCACTTGCCGAAGGCTGTCTAAACAAACACAGCTTTTCACTAGTCCCTATTCTTCAGTAGCAAGAAGTCAACATAAAGTCTTAACTCTGTTTTAACAATACCTAGCTTGGGCAGTTTATGTATAATGGGAAGACCTGTTTTCCAGCATAAAAATAAACATTTTATCCAACTGTGTTAATTCTGTAACAACAAATGTTAAGATAGATTTTTCTAAAGCTAATGGCAATTTTTTGTGTTGCAAATAAGCAGTAAATAAGTCTTTGCTTGTTATAAAAAGACAAGCTAAATGCCTAAAAATAGACAGAAATTTTTTATGGGCTTGAAGATAAAAGTAACTCCATGCTGAAATTTCAATAGCTTGCTTACATGGAGTCTGTATCTGTGGAATCTGTATTACTTGCAGTCATTCTGAGATGCAGTTTTGAGCAGGGGATTTTTTTTTTAATTAAATGGAAATATTTCTTGTTTAGGTCACCTAAATCTCACCCAGGACCTATTGTCCACATTAGTGACAATCCAATGGATGAAGGAAAGGTAGGATATGTTTAAAGACTAATCAATATGTTGTCTTTCAAGCAAGACTTTTTTTGGTAAAAGTATACATACCACTGCTCTTTAAGGAAAGGATTAAGTAGATGAGAATGTCGAAAGGATAAAGGAGGGCTAAATCAAGGTTTTAGGCTTGAGATAATATGAAGCAAGGTACAGGCATCACTGTAGGACACATTACTAGAAAATTGAATGCATCTTGTAGTCAGAAACACTTTAAAAATGCAGCTGAAAGTGCTTAATTGCAAAAAATTCTTGAAAACAAAAACAGAGAACTTTACTTATGGTGGTAAAAATTAAGATGTTACTGAAAAAAACCAAATTATAACCAGAGTGCAGAAATAGTGGGGTGGAAATCAAACATTATAATGCTCTTGGGTGTTGCTGTTTCACAGCTTTAAAAAGTTTTAGGTAGCATATTTATATAGAACACTGTATTTTGTCTTCAGCTTAGCTAATCTGAGGCAGCACTTTTTATGGGATTTGAGGTCTAACTGACATACTCTTATTTAGCAGACAGCATCTAGTGATTGTAATAAATTGCTTAAAACCTCACTGGCCTGTAATACAACTAGATACTTCAGAAAAGTCAGCCCAACTAAAACGTATAAGGAAGAGCTACATATTAGATTTGTCTTTTCCTTCTTTTGAGATAGTGTTAACATAATATTTTATCTTGACAAAGTTTTACAGTACATGTTCTTAGAGCGCTTGCAAGACAGTAATTTTTGTCCTGTGACATAGCAGCTGTAAAGAACAACTTGAGCTATGAACTCAATGGCCTTAAGTTCCTCATGTATTATTAAAGTAAATCTACAGGTATTACCCTTTGCTTTGGGAAATCTGTTATGAGGCTTATGCAAAAACAACATAGAGCATGTGATTTTAGTTCACACGGAAGACTTCATGCCTTGAAAAAGAAAGCAAGGAGTTAAAATGTTAGTATCCCTTCTCTAGGTGACAGAAATTACTGTAGTACTAAATCATACATTCCTCACTTAAGTCATGGTTGCAAGACTAGGTCTGTGCTTCGGATGACGGACCTCTTCTGCAAGTCTTGGAATGGAATCACATGACTCACTCTGAAGGATCTTCACCCTCTTTAGCTTGTGTGCCCCATAGAGTTTTCTAGCAAATCGTAGTGGTCTACTGCAACTTTTGTTCTGTTCCCTTGGCTGCCACTGAACAGTAAGCAAGAGGGGTTTTCCTTAATTTTGAAAGCAGAAGTAAAGCAAAATATGAAAGAAGAATTTGAAAGCAGCATTCTTGCATGTATCTCTTCCAAAAGTGTGCAGACTCCTGACAAATGTATGGTTATAACTTAACCAGAGAGACCTTGATGCCACTTTAAAAAGCTTTTCATTAATGACTCTACTCTAGATATATCAGATCTGATTGGATACATTGATAAATGAAATTCTGAATTACTGTTTTTATTTTTTATTTTATTATTACATTTTATGTAATGTCTCAGAGATCCTAGAGTTTTGAACTCCCATTTGTGATGAATCTTCAAGGAGAGAGAAAATAATTTTGCTTACTACTGTTCCACATATGCAGGAGAAATATTAATTTTTGTTTACTTGATTTTCATTTGGTGTGTTATTGATGGATTAAACTGAAGAGAGAGGGAATGATTCTATTGTCTAAGCAATGGATTGAATGTTTTAATACCATTGTAGTTGTAAGCTTGTATCGTAGACACCTGGGGTTTCAGTCCAGCAAGGAGAATTTCATGAGTAGAGGTTTTTTCACTGGGGTGAAGCTCACTGCAGTAAGTGCATATCTAATGGATTCTCTGTAGAATTAGGTTTGAATCTCATTCCAGAATCATGGACCCTACAATATGAAAGCAGTGAAGCTATGGTAACTTCAGAAAAGACAAATGATCTGTTTATTCTGGTGTACCCCATCCCAAGTTTAATCATCATCAATTAAAGTTTAAGAATTACTGGTTTTATCAATCAGTGTTTTAGAATCTGACCTTACACTCCTCCTCTTCTGAGAAAAATATTGCTGAAAGACCTGTGGTTGCAAGAACCTCCTATATACTCACTTCTAGAACTTGTTCATGCTGTTAACCTTCTAGTCAATGTGTTTTTCCTAATGTTTGCAGTTAAAATAGAAAAATTATGAAATGTGGCTTATGATGAGCAAGATAATTTAAAACAATAGTATATGTGACACTGTAGTGAGGAAAAATCTGTTATTTATTTTTACTAGATGAAATGCCGAAGATTTTTAGGGTTCAGTGCTGTGTAGCACTGAAATAGATCAAATATTTCATCTGTAACCTGGTAGGAGATCCTCTGTTTTTTTTGTGTTGGAAATAACTGTACACCTTAAATCTTAACATGCCAACAAGACTGTCCAGACAAAACTTCTAGGTACGGCAACAGACCATAGTCATTTAGATCTCTATCCTTGACTACAATGGCATGTGTGTGAAGCCAGCGTTTTCCAGCTTGTAGTACAGAGGACACTCCTCAGGGCACTTCTACTTGCTCGCAGGAAATGGGCTGCTCCAACAGTGAGTAATTCCCATTAGCCAGCTACTCTTCTTTGTATGTCCATGCTGTGAAAAAGAAGTGGGAGTGAAGGCGTGCTGCTTAATGCTAGGAGCTGCTTCTCCTGTAGCAACATTGTTCGAAGGAATGATCTCACAGTAGATCCAGCAACTATGAGAGATGAAGCTGCATTGCTTTCTTCTGTATATGAAGTGCCAAGACTGTTACTACTGCCTTATGTTAGCCTTGTTTTGTTTTCATTAAGAGAAGTGTCACTTAAGATAGGAGAGCAAAGCACTTTGATACTCAACAATGAGTTAGACCAATTACTATGAGCAATTTGAATCTTCACTCCCTGCAGAAATGGTTCAATCTTGCTTCTAGCAAAAAGATTATTTGGAAATTTATTTTTAGTTTCTCTCTAGCTTTCCTCTTAGTGTTCCTTTAGCCAGTTATCTCAATTGTGATTAGCACCTGGAGAAAGCTAACATTACATGGTTTCTTTATAGACAATGAACCGTTACCTAGAATTTCAGGAAGGATAGTGCATTCTTCCAGCAAATCTAAGCAGAACAAATTCCAGTGAGGAAAATGGGCAATAAAAGTTCTTTTTTTCCACCACCCCACCCTCACCCCGATCCCCATTTTCTCTAAGGAAGGAATACAGTTATGAAAGTTTAATGTTGATCTTTCTGAAACTTGAAGGGATTTCCAAGGACTCTTTTTTTTTTTTTTTTTATTCTAATTTAGCATGAATGTCAGTTGTATTAGCTGAAAGCAACAAGTACAAAGTAAACCTCTCTAATGTTGAGGTCTTTGCCCCTTCTCACTAATTTTTGTCCTCGTAACTACTTGCAGTTACTATGCTGTATCTCTTTGGTCAAGAACTACAGGCACTGAAAATGATATTATTTACTTATCCTTATAAAGACTTAATATATCTTCTTATTGCAGCTTCTGATTGGCTTTGAGTCTGGAACAGTGGTATTATGGGATCTGAAGTCAAAGAAGGCAGATTACAGATACACACATGATGAGGTAATGTTTTTCATCTGCATTACTTGCTGTGAGGGTATCATTTGCTATTCTAATAGTGATTTTTTTTTTCTTCATTTCTTCGCTTGCTGCTGTCACCAGTGGATCAATAAATGGGTCTCTGAAATTGCAAGTACTTGAAGTTTTCTCTAAAAGAGCCTTTGAGTTTGAATAAGAGAAACTTCAGACCAAACGAGTGTTCACAGAGTTGGAGTTTGTGAAGCAATGAATGGTCACATAGATTAGATTTCTTTCAGGGGCTGGGGGGCAAACTTTCAGATCTTTGTTGCTGAGTAGTGTGACTTTCACCTGTGTTAAGAGCTGGAGTCTTATTCTGAAACAAGATGGCTTAGCAAATTCTCTAATTTGGAATGTCTCACATGTTCTGAAAAGTGTCTGAGGGGAAAGGAAAGCACTAAATAGTCTCACTAGGTTGTTTCTGTAAACACGCCTTTTCTTTGTAGGAGAAGATCAAAGTTTGATATAAAACTGGGGGAGGTTTAATAAACCAGTGGCATTGAAAGGCATTTATTGCTATAAAACTTGATTCTTGAGAGAATGTAGGCTTTTTGAAAGACTGAGATTAAGAAAGAAATCATTTGACATATAAGTTGATGTATTTTAAATAAAATAACATAGTTGGTCTCGATTTACATTTTGTTGATTGTAAAATGTATCAGTTTTCAGTACCAGCTAGGCCTATTGCTTATATCACAGTGGGTGTGTTTTCCTTAGCTCTGTGCTGAACTTTTCACAAGACAGGATTTGGGATGTTTTGTGGTGGTTCTAGCTCAGTACGCATGCTCATGTGTGTTAGTTCTACCAAAGAAGAGTTTCTTTCAAGGGGGAGTCTCTGAAGTAGTCTCAGCCTTACCTTATCAGAGGTGTATAGAACATCAGAGCTGAATGAGGTTTCTTTGTGTGTTCATAATTGTCTGTATTAGCCTCAAATTATGTTATGCAAAGAGTGGTTTTCTACCTTCAAGTCTTATTGCATGCGTCTAATCAATTTCCTGTCCTCTGTTTCATATACTTACTCATATCTCTGTCATCTCTTTCTAGTCTTATTTAAGTTCTTCCTATACCTCTTATTTGTCTTGCTCATCACTAACTTTTTTAACTGTTCTATTTTATCTTTGTTTTATAAAAGAGGAACACAGCAACATAGTATATTCAAGATGTGGGCACACTGGATTTATGGTGCAGAATAATTGTGTTTGGTTTTGTTTTCTTTCTCTCTTGATCTTGATACTGGATTAGACTTCTGATGCTGCAAGCATTAAGCAGATACTTCCTTGGAACAACATACTATAAAACTAGAGTCTGATTCTTCAGTGTTAATTGTCAGCTCAAAGTCCGTTGTGTTTATGCATCTCTTCACATTTATGTAGTTGAACAGTAGAATTTTTTCTGCAGTTCTTCACTGGAATCCTGATTTCTACCCTGAATGTACTTTGGTACTCTCAGTAGACTTACCACCTTAATATGCTAATTCTAATTTTCTGAGTTATTTATGAATAAACTGAGCAGCACAGATCCCTGAGGTTCTCAACCAATTACCTTCATCCATGAACTAATCGATTACTGTTGGCCTGTCTTTATTCTAGCTTGCTTTGCTTCCTGATACCTTAAAAAGTTGTTCACCTGTTCAAGGATTTCTAGTCTGTTTGGTTTTAGTTTCCTCTGAGAGATGTTGTTGAAAGACTTTGAAAATTGTGTAGACAGCTTAATTAGCCATGTGCTTGTTAGTATTTTTGGAGATTGGTTGGATATGATTTCTATTTACAAAAAGCATGTTGACTTCTCGTGCCTGGTATATTGTACTCATACATCAATTAACTCTGTTCTTTAATAAAGTTTTGCTGTGGTTTCTAGAAACTTACCCAGGGTAGACATTGTGCTGCTTGTTGTGTTTTTCTTTCGATTTTGTGGTCCATTTGTTTAAAAATTAGTGCCATATTTGTTATCTTCCTGAACCAGCCTTGGTTTGGGAGGTTGCAAACAGCCGTGAGTAGTTCAGCCATTTCATTTTTATTTCCTTTAGGATTTATAAGTGAATGCATCTACCTGTTCAGTTTGGTTTTTTGATTGCGGAAGAGGTAATGAAATACCTCAGGTCAGATCCTTTGGTAAAGAAGTGTGCAAGCTGGGAATGGATAGGAAGGGGAGAGGAAAAAAATGGAGATCTAAAGGCTGAACTTGATGAGTTTCACTGTTCTCATTAGTAAGAATCAATATACTTATAGTTGCTTAAAAAAATATTGGCCATTCAAGTCTTAGTTGAAGTATGCTCTTTCTGTGAGTTCAAATTGCTCTTTAAGGAAAATATCTCTTTGGAAAAAGAATTACTATATGCAGTAGTAATTTGATGGTTCTCATCCATTTAAAATTGTGTGACAAGGAATTTCTTCAATGGACAAGTTACTTAGATCTAATGTGGGGGGGGAGGCAGAATAGAATGATGGCCCTTTTTTGAATTTGGATTTGATACTTAAGCAGTTTGAAGTTCTTCTGGATTCTGGCATGAATGGCATAGAAATAAAATGGTTAGTTTTTTCTAACAGAATTGAAAAATACGTGTTTCTTGAAAGGTGCTGTTGCAGAGAGTGCTGTAATTGTTTCTGAACCGATGGCCTTGAGAGGAGATCCCATCAGATACAGAAAAGATAATGAATAGAAAACTGCAGGAAGTGGATGATTATATGTATACTACATATATCTATGCTTCTTTATTTAGTGTGAGTCAGGTGAGGTAGGGCTTCTGTATCTTTCTCTTATGCTTCAGTGCCTCTCTGTTTTGTATTTAGCAGAAAAAAATGGAGAACCTCCCTCAGTTTGTCAGTGAAAGGAACATTCAACTCTCTAATGTTTTCTAATCATATTGTGATGGGTGCTAACTAGTGGCCTATATAAATATACCGTTCTTACTATTTTTCAGCTAGCACAGTTTCAAGTAAGTGAATGCAAATATTAAGAAATGCAGAAGATAGATGTTTTCCTTTTGTATTTTGCAAGAATAAAATGATGTTGCCAAGTAATAAAAACTGCTCTTTTTTATGAGCAGCTTCATTAACACAAAAAAGAAAAGCATTCTCACTTGCTTAAGGCTGAAAGGGATTACTTTGGAAAGGTGAGTAACTTTCTGGCATCTTAGACAAGTAACACCATAAATGATACTGTAAAAAATGCTGACTGGCATTGTTGGAATTCTGATTAGAAAGTAATCTGTTCATTCTAGTTGAACAACTTATCAATTCAAATACTTAGCCAAAAATGAAATGTCTGTATATGTATAGCAAGCAAATAATTCTTTTCAGTGACAGCCTAGTACAGTTCTGTAGGCTTTAAAGTAGAATGGAATATCAGAAACAAGGGAAATTGACTGAATTGAGGAGGACTCAGGGAGGGTACAGCTAACCAAGGTTTTGGGTAAGACAACTATTACAAGGCCTTGCCAAGACCTTTCTTGTCTAGTTTAGTCTAATATTGTTTTGCTGCCAAAAAAGGCAGTATTACCCCAACCACCCCAGCAATATCTTTCCATGATCATTAGTAACTGTGTGACAATACAGCAAGTCACACTACAATTAACTCTTTTCCCCTCTTCCTGTACACCCAAGAAAAGTATCATTCAGAAAGACCCATTTCACATGAAAACTTAAGGAAACTTGAGGAAAATCTTCAGACTTTCTGGCAAGGTAGTGGTTCCTTGCTCAAGAGAGTGCACGCACAGAATCTAGCAGTGGTGGAATAGTGCCTCGTCTTATGAGATCTCCTTTGCTTTAAAGTATGGCACAGAGCAGAGAAAGCGCTCTGCTGTTCTTCCTAGCACACCTTATAAATTTGAATACTTACATGCTCAGAATCTTTCTAGCTCTTTTCTGCTCGGTTTTCTGATTTGGTGGCTTTGCCAGAGGCTTCTTTCTTATGCTGACTGTATGGGCTATATTCCATCCATGAACGTGTTTCAACTGTTCTCTGTCAGACAGTAATGCACGTGATGTTCTTCCTTGTATCAGCAGCAGGGTTTTAAACATTAGGATTTATATCCTTGGTTCTCCACTTGTTTTTGAGAGCTCTGCTGAGTGTGGAGCTGAAAACCAGTAAGATGATCACACTTGGGATCTGGTGCAGAGCTGATCATTGGATACAGCACATCGCTGTCCTGTCTCCATTTTTCCTCCCTGACTGTGCCATCTCGGACTGCTGAAGTGTAGCGGGGGAGGCTCACAGAGAGATCTTGTTTGGTGAATCAGGCCTGCTTATTAGCACTGGGGAGACATTCTCTGGCTCTTAACCCTATTGAAAACAAGTAATTTTTCTCATACTTGTTAACTGTGTGGTCCCATCAGTCTCAGAAAATCCATCGCGAGTCATAGAATCATAGGTTTGAAAAGATCTCCAAGATCATAAAGTCCAACCATCAACAAGTCGTTGCAAAGGTGATGACTGACTCTGTGCCCATTTGAAATGGCAGTGCTCTACTCAGGGGTGTGAGCTTTGTTGCTGCTCGGAGCTACAAGACTGACATCAGCAGAGCTTGGTGCTTCAGCACAGCTGCAGTTCTGCATGATGTTGAGGCACAAGACGTAGCAGTCAGGATCGTGGAGCTGGATCCTCTCCAACTGTGTGGTCTTTTTGCTGTAGCAGTGCTGTGAAATACACTTCCCTGTTTTGTTTGAGTGATGGTAGCTGTTAATGGGTGGATAGGCTTCATCAGGCATCATGAGCAGGATGGCCAGGCACCCTGATACCATAAAGGCTGTGTGCTGGAAACTTTGCCGTTGAATTAGTCTCCTCCTTTCTTACCACTTTGTAGTTGACATTGGTCTTAAAATATGTAACTTGAGGGGCTGTGCAGTCTGCCACCATCATAGAATCAAAGAATGACTTGATGCAACTCTTAGACTCAAATTTTCAGATGTGTCAAGGGGTCCAAATGCCATCCTGTATGATCATCTTCTGCTAAGGAGCAATGAGGGTCAAACTTACTGGACAGTCAGAGGTTTATGGATGGATACCTGTGTGATTTCCTCAGGAAATAAGCTGATTTATGTTATATCTTTTTGTCGCTTCCTGCTTTGCTTCAAGAAAGCTTCTTACAGGTCAGATAATTTGTAATGAAGCCAATTCCAATGTTGTGGTGGGGCAGTCTCATTTGTTGCCTGAAATTTTGGTCAGTGGAACACTATCCATGCTTTCTTCCTGTCTGAACATGTGCCTGCCCAGTACTGTGCTTGGACAGTTGCAGCACAAGAACACTAGGAGCACTCATCCCAAGGACAGGAATGCTTATAGGGTGCGCGGCAACACAACACCTGAAACCTTTGTAATCATATTTCTGCTTAACTGTGGCTGGGGGAGGCAGCTCTGGGTCATGATCAGTATTAGTGCTGATTGCTGGTATATTCTTCTTTCTGACATTCAAGTTTGTAACAGGGCATGTAGTTAGAATCTTTCTTGATTTTTCTGTATTACAAAGGAGATCCTGAACCTCCAGTATTGTATACTTTTTAGTATAACAGCAATATGTTGCATGCGTAGAATTAGTTAAGAGTGCACAAATGTAACATTCTTCTTTTAGAGAATTTGGAGGAAATTATCTGTGACATAAACTGCAGTTGTGAATGAAGTTTTCTTTAGAAAGTTTATTTGAAACAGTTTCCTCAAAACATCTTTTTGTCTTGGGCAGCCTCAGTGGAAAAAATAAGGCTGTAACTTCTTTTTCCATGGTTCTTAAGCCTTTTGTGTTCAGACATTGGGGATTTAAAAAAAATTATGCATTTTTTATGTGAAATACAGTTTATACTGCAAAGGGAAACCCAGCTTACTTAGATTGTTTTTTTTCCTTTTCTGAGTAGTAGCAACTGTGTTTACCATCGTCTAAACTTGGTATTAGGAAAAATGAGGTGAAAGTCTTTTAGAAAGAGGAAACTGCTTAAACTAATAGTTTTTGTATTCACATCGAAGTATCAATACGTTTCTGTATGCATCTTGTCTTTCAGGAAGGTAAGATATAAAGAATGGTCTCAAACTGTTCTGAAATGGTATGCGTATAATCAGCTGTAGTGTTAAAATAAGTTTGAAGGAATTGAAAAGAAGGGGTGTTTTTGTGTATGAATTTTATGACTGGAAAGAGTTAAATCCCCTTGGTGGAAAAAAAAAAATCAAAACTTGAATCTGTTAATGAACTTGTCTCAAGTTGTAAGTGGTATTTAGAATAACTTTTGTACCTCTGTAGAGTACCAAGGAATAATGGTGATTTCTAGGGATATTGACAAGCTGTTGCAGCAGTAAAACTCAATTTCATTAAACTTTTACACGTGCATGGATCTCTTTAAAAGCTAGTGATCTACTTCAGATATTTCTGTAGGAGGCTTGCCTATAAATGCTTTTAATGTTACTCCTCAGACTTTTTCAGTTTCATGTTTGTGACTGCAGTTCACAGTCCCACAGTTTCCCTCAGGTAACTGTTGCAGTTATTGCAACAGTGTTTCCTTGTTGAAAATCAGGTGTGTTCAGCTTCTTTGCAGGCAGTACATCAGTCGTTTTTCCACACAGGATAATCTTTCTGGAATGGCTGGTGAAAGTGAGGCTTCCTGTGTGCACAGCCTGTCTGCAAGTAACACTCTAGGATGGTTAATTTCTACACTTATGCTGTGTTTTTTATTAAAAAAGTAAGATTTGATTCTGACCCCCCCCCCCCCAAAAAAAAACCCACAAACCAAACAACCAACCAAAAACACATAACTATCTCAGAAGTTTCGAAACAAACTTCCATATAGTCCAGAACAGCTACCTTATATTCAGATCGAAGTGAAGGGGGTAGTAGGAATACTTTTGGTAAGGAACATTTTAGTTCTAATAAGTAAATTTAAAGATTTATTTAGATAAAGGTTTTTTGTGGAGCATTCTATGTGTAAGTTCCTGTAAAGATCCCCTGTATTCGGTGCAAGTTTGTAAATGGAAGGATTGAGAATGTTTGTGAGGCCAGGATTTGGATTGCTTGTGCAGATATCTCCTTTTCAGGATACAGACACCTTGTGCCTTAAATATTTTCTATCTTGAATGTTACTCTTTCCTTCAAATTATAGCACTAATATTAACCATGGAAAAAATATCAGAACTCTTGCTTTTGAGTGTTCGAATGATTTTTCAGTTATTGGTTTTGTTTTGGTGATTGAAGCTGTTGATATCAACGAACTAGTGCCACCTAAAGTTATTCTAATTTTTTCATTGTGACTGACTTGTCGTCGTAGATATACTAGCCTGTTGTATACGTAGAGGTTATGCTACAGCTACTTTCAGGCTTACAAAAAGTTCTGAATTGTGTAATAGCAAAGGATAGTGCTCTGTACCAAAGCTTTTTGTACTCAGACAGAATTGTTACTTGGATTATTTTAAGAATACATAAAACTTGTTTTTGTTACGCTTTAAATAATATTTAGCTCAGTTGCTAAATGTAACCAGATGTTCTATAAAATTAGGCAATAAATAGCCATAAAGCAAAAGGCCTCATTATTCTGTCAGCATCGTTCCATCCCATCAGGTTCCTTGGAGAAATTAAGTGATAGCAGTCATTCTTCTCCTTTTGTGCTCAGCTTATCAGATCTTTTTATGTTCGTAAGCATTAATGCCATTTCAACAGTAATGAGTTGTTCGTTTTCTTCCTCTTGACTTTCATTTTCAAGAAAAGGAAAATGTGTTCATTTCTGTGATTTGTCCTTCTATATAGCTTGCTTTCTTACTGGTTCTTAAGACCTATTTCTACATAAATCTGTATCAAAATCTGTTCCATTTACACTGTGGACTGTCTGCTGTTGTCAGAGTTAGACTCCACGTGGAATTGTATTTAAAACATACCTATTATGTTGTATTGCTAATCATAGCATAGATAATTTTTCTTGGTGAAAAGACCTTTTTGAAATGCAATCTTTGCTTTACTGAATCTGCACTTTCAAACTTGCTGATCCTTGGCTTTGATAATACATTGGCAAGCAGAAATAAATTTTCAGTATTTATGCAAAATTTCTTTTATAATACCTACTTTTATTTGCTAAATAAAAATTTATCTTACAGAATGAGCAAGACTATTTCACTCTGATTCTATGAGACTTCGTGAGAGATGTCTAGGTTTGAGCAACATATGTGTAGATGTGATATTGGTACACTGAATCTGTATTCTAACAATATCAGTAGTGATTCCACAGGAAGCAAGATTAAATTTCACTAAAATACTAAACTTTGTTAATATGTAGTTCACAGATATCCAGATCTTCTACTGCTTGAAGTTGTGAAAGTTATTAGTGGAGACTCTGCACTCATGTAGCGTACTTATTTTCCTCTGTCATTTAGTATCTGGATTCTACCAGTTGTATTTCTGGAAATTGTCTTGTTTTTCTGTAAAATTTTATGAAATGTGAAGAGCTGATCTGTATATAATCAGTTTAGGCAAAGCTAGCTTAAATCTGTCTTCTGTGATTTGCTTTTCGCCTAGTAATTTACTGCCTAATTTTTCACTGCTAGTTAGGCTTCCCTACTACTCACACACCCAAGTTTCCTCACAGAGGAAATACTTGAGATCCTGAGGTTGTGGAGTGAGGAAGTCTAAGCCCTGCTTACAGACAGAATCTCTGCTGAGGGCATCCACCCAACAGTTGATATTGCACAGCCCGTCAGCATTCACATATTCAGGTCCTGATTTCAGTTTACCTAGTCATGCGTTTTTCATAAGTATTAAGCAAATCTACCTTCTTGGTAATATCAAAGTTCATACATCTATCAGGTAATACTTCCTTCTGCACCTTTTGGGTAGTAGAAAAATACTTTGGGATTTTGTTTCATGCTGTAACTAAAATTCCCTTGAATGTCACCTAATGGTTTCATAATGTCTCCATGTACTGATAAAGACGCTGGAAGTAGAAATGGCACCAATCTTTTCTTACTAGTTGATCTCTTTGCTTTATTTGTACCCTTTGCGTCATTGTTTGCTTTTCTGTCGCTTTAATGCAGTGACTAGATTTCATTTAGTCAACTTTTTTTCTGCAGTAAGATTTCATGTGGCATGGCTTAATGCTTCCATTTCTAATTTTATAAATATAAAGGTCTTTCTGTATTCATGGTATGACTTACTAGTAAAGATTCCTACGCTTCAAAACTGCCATTGCAACATTAGAATGTTTATTCAATGTAATATTCTGTTTTCTTGATCTTCATAATTTCAAAAAGTCCTATCATTACTTCAATTTTCACTTCACTTGTGTTCTCAGCCCATGCTTGCTTCTTGTGTGTATTCACAAAGACATCTCAATGCTGTTTAAAACTTTGAGTAGATACTCCCATCAAGTAGATATTTTTTTCTGTGGACAGTGTAGTTTCCCAATAATAATTTTGGCTAGCAAAGCTCAAATAAGTGCTTGTAGTTACTCTCTGCATGCTACTCATTGTTGAAAAACCTGAGGAGGATTTTTTCCTGTTAAGCATGTTATTACTTTATCCATCAAAAATGCTGTCTTTATTGTATGTCTGAAAGAAGTACTTACGAACAGAAACTGTGGGTAAATTGGGACATACTAAGAGGAGTATGATTTAATTAGTACTTTCTTTGATTTCCATTTGCTGTCTAATGTCATTGAGGAAGGAGTAAGGATAAAATGATACTAAGATACTTGACTTACACAGTTCTGTCTTTTCCTCTTTTCTTGCATAGGCTATCCACTCTGTGGCTTGGCATCATGAAGGAAAACAATTTATTTGTAGTCACTCAGATGGTACTTTGACCATATGGAATGTAAAATCTCCTACCAAACCATTCCAGACAATCACTCCACACGGTGAGATGAAAATGAATACCCACTGTGTTTGACAGTTCTTAAAAGACAGAGAACTTATTTTTAATAGAAGTGTGTTTTGCAAAACCAAGTATTAAAAATGCATTTACAGTGCAAGTAAACCCTCTGTCATATCAAATTCTGATTGATTTCATATACAAAACTCAGTCTGTATGAAATAAGAATCCGAATAAATGCAGTTTTGTCTTAATCTTTGAACTTCGAGCTGGCCTTTCACACAATTGCATTGATCTCAAAATTAACTAATGCGTATTTTGCGGGGCTTGCTTTTTGCTTGACATTACAATCCCATATGTCATTTAAAATACATATAAGCAAGCATCTGTTTCATGTATAAATGTGTAGATTACCATACAAATTCTTGGAAAGGTTTGTAACAGAGTAAGAATAGCATCTGGTAAAATGTTCCCACTTCTGAGAAGTCTTGCATTAGTGTTAATCTAGGAAATTAACATTGCATGTTGTTCTTCTGAGTCTAGTTGGAGGCCGGTAACTAGTGGTGTCCCCCAGGGGTCAGTACTGGGCCCAGTCTTGTTTAACTTCTTCATCAATGACCTGGATGAAGGGGCAGGGTGTACCCTCAGCAAGTTTGCTGATGACACACAACATGGAGGAGTGGTGGATACACCAGAAGGCTGCACTGCCATTCAGTGAGACCTTGACAGGCTGGAGGGTTGGGCAGAGAGGAACCTGATGAGGTTCAGCAAGGGCAAGTGCAGGGTCCTGCACCTGGGGAGGAACAACCCCATGCATCAGTACAGGCTTGGTGCGGACCTGCTGGAGAGCAGCTCTGTGGAGAAGGACCTGGGAGTGCTGGTGGATGACAAGTTGACCATGAGCCAGCAGTGTGCCCTGGCTGCCAAGAAGGCCAATGGGATCCTGG